AAATGGATAAAATTGCCATTTTTTCCGAACTCAACTCATTAGGACAAACTAAAAACACATTTTAGAGATTTTCACAAATTTATTAAAAACCCAACCATTTACAAAAGTGTTAATTCAGGACTTCATGGCAGCAGGTAGTGCCTCCAGTCTTCTTGGGACTATATTGTCTTTGGACATCTGTTAATGAGCACTTTATGGCATTCTTCCTGGCACATGCTCTCAGGCTCTGGATGAGAAGTGTCTGTGATCTGCCATCTTCAGGTCTCTGTGCACGTTCTGTGGGGCTTTGGCTGGGCCACTAAAGGACAGTCAGTCAGACACTTGTCCTGAAGCCACTGCTAAATTGGCTTGGCCATATGCTTCAGGTCAGGTCAGAACGGTGAACCCTCACCCCAGTCTCAGGTCAGGTGCACTCAAGGATCTCTTTGTATTTGGCTGCTACCACAATACTTCACTGTAGGGACAGTATAAATCAGGTGATGAGCAGTACCTGCTGTTCACCAGATATAGTGCTTGGAGTTCTGCCGACAGAGGCCAGTTTTTGTCTCATCTGAGGCCCTTCTTGCCCAGTGAGTTAATTTGGCCAGACAGCCAACTGTTGGAAGAGTCCTGGAGGATCCAAACTCCTCCTATTTCTGTGATTGAGGCCACTGACTCCTGGGAACACTCATAGATTTAGAAATGGTTTTATGCCTGTGTCCTGATCAATACCTCATTACCGTTTTATTGTACAGAGCTCCTTGGACAGGGCTTGGTTTGTGCCCTGACATGCAGTATGAAGTCTAGGACCTTATATACACAGGTGTGTGCCTTTCTAAAAGGATCAATCAATTCAATATGCCACAAGTCGATTCCAGTCAAGTTCTAGACACATCTCAAACAGGATATACCTGACCTCAGTTTAGAGCCACAGCAAATGGTCGGAATACTTTTGTGAATGAGAGATTTCAGTTTTTGCTTTGTAAAAAACCTGCCAGTATTTTGACAAACATTTTGATTTTGTCATTATGGATTATTGAGTGTAGACCGTTGGGTAAAAATGGCAATTTTATTAATTTTAAATTAAATCTACAACACAAAGTGTGCAAAACATGAAGGGGTCTGAATACTTTCTGAAGCCAATGTATTTCTGAGATGCACATTTCAAACTATTCTTCTTCTAGGTATTTTATAATAAAATAACAGAGCTGCTAAAGCTTAGCAAAAATAGACTGCAGTCTGCTGAAGGCGCTCTCTGCTGCAGGTTCTGCATCTTCAACAGCAAATACTGATATGTGATTGCTGACTCTGTATATAGTGTGGAGAAATATGTGTTTATCTTCTTATAGCAGTAAAGGCTAAATGAGGGTTACACCCCAATCGTTTTGCAAATGTCCTGGCGTGTCTGAGGTTAAGTTAGTGGCATGAAACTGAAAAGCTTGAGATCTGCCAAGCGCAAAGACAAAGTATTGAGTGAGTCAGTGACAGTCTGCATGCAAACAACATCTGGAGAGTTTGGTTGAAGAGTCTATACTGGAACAACACATGATCACACATTACTGTTTGCTATAACAGAAATAAAGGGAGAAAAGAGGCAACCTTGATGTGTGCCTCAAAAAATAAGTTGATTTGTGAATTGCTTGAACCTAGAGTTTAATAAACAAAAGAAAAAGTAAGGGAAACCCTGGTGTGTGCAACAAGAGTGTGAAAACAAATTTTTAGCACCACAACCAGTAGCTAATATGAAGCTTGACGAGATACTAGGTTATTAGAATCTCAGCCTTTAAAAAGCAAATGAGTTTGTGGGAGATTTCTAACATTGACCTTTATAATTATTTGGTGGATATAGTTTTCATTTTTAAAATTTAAGCCACTATGGGTAGCATTAAAATCCTTCATCTGGCATCATGCAGTAGCATTATCAAAAAGACTGTGGCAGATGATAACGCACACCACTACACTCTCACAACCTTCCAACTCAGGGACACAGAAACAAGATCTGAAAACCAAATATGGACCTCTAGTTTCATGATAGTATCCTACAGCAGTATGCGTTAATGGTATGTGTAAAGCCAACAATAACAAGACTGAAAAGGGTATATATTTATCTGTGATAAACAGCTGATAGTGAACTTTTGAGGCAAATACTGATATCAATTTTTGGGAGTTAAAAAAAATTAGAACACAAATTATCATCTGATTGTATTGATTTTTTCTTCTACATAAGCTCAAAATACAAACAATCATTTCTGGCATTTCTGTAATGCAATCATTTATTACTTATCCATTATTCATCATGACTAATAGAGTTCATAAAAGCAGCAGGAGATGTGTTGTATTATTCAATAGGACTGCATTCAAAATTAGAGCAGTATTCAGCTGGGAATAACGCCATTCAGGATTGATAAATCTAAAAAAAAAGGGGGGGGGGGGGTTTGTTGTTT